ATTAAATAGAAATTGCACTGACTTGGTGCACCATCTTGTGGTTCAAACTGGCATTACACAAAGGTACAGCCCAGCCTTACTCCAACTTCAGTTGATATGTCTTTAGATATCGCACCTTTAGTTAAGTTTAGACACTGAAATCGAACATGTAGATTTCTTTCAATATTATTTAATGTAAATAGTCATAAGAACATTATGATGTGAAGGAAAGCCCACAGAATATGATCATTAAAAACACTGCTGCTACTAATCAGAGCTTAATTGTGCCATTTGTGTGTTTTTTTCCCCATGAACATTCGCCTATTCGCCACTCCTCTGTGCAACAGAAACTGCTAGAAGCCCACGAGGAGCAGAACAGCGAGGCGTTCACGGAGGCCGTGAAGGAGTTTGATTCTGTGTCTCGCCTGGACCAGTGGCTGACCACGATGTTGCTACGCATCAAGAAAACCATCCAGGGGGACGCTGGGGACCTGAAATAGACACACTTAGAAGAGGGGAGAGAACAAAGGGGGGGGAATAGGGAAAGGGGGCATTGAAGAGAGAAGGAAGATGAGAGTGGAGGGGATTAAATGATGGGACAAGAGACAGGCATGTATCTTAATGGATGTGTAAAAGTAGAATAAAGTAAAGGTAGAAAGATGAAAGAGGGTGGGAGGTGAAGGAGTTTACAGTTGTACATATCAGTCTGCATGTGACCTGCCCCCCAATGAGCTAAGCATCACCTTTAAATCACCTTAAGATCACCCCGTGTCTCCCGGTCCTGCAGTATTGCTCTCGTAACACTGGACAGAATTGTACTTAAAAAGTAAGAGTGGAAAGAAAACGTGTGTGTGTGCGTGTGTGTGTGTGTGAAAGAGAAAGAGTGTGTGTCCACACCAGAAAGGTAAATGATGGGAAAGTTTGCAGCTTACATGAGATTTAAGGAAATATGATATTAAAAAAAATATTGAGAAATATTATTTATGAGATTTCTGATATTTATTGTCAATACTGAACATATGTATTGTTTATTATGGTGCTCAGTGTTATGACTTGTCTTACTATTTTAGGTATTAGCCCCTCAGCTCTCTCTCCTTCTCCTTTCTCCTTTACTTCTTCTCTTCCTCCTCCTCTGTCTCACTGTCCTCTCCGCATCCCCACACCCTGTCAAATCGGTGAACTCACCCATTGTGATTGGTTTGTGTTCAGGCCAGTGGTGGTTCGGCACAGTGAGCCACCAGTGCTGACTCCTGTCACTGCCTTGTTTTGTGCATGTCTACTGTCATGTTGTTGTAAGTGTTTTCCGTGTTGTGCTAATGTGTGAAGAACATACATGTAGCCTGGTATCATTCGTGTGAAATCGGTAAATATGTACTTCAGAGACCGAGTTGAATAAAAACATCAGCGCTCCAAGTATCTGGGTGTTTATTTAGAATATGGAAACAGACCACAGGCCAGAAGACGAGAACACTGAGAAAGTAGAATATCTCATGAAAATAAATATAAATAAAGGAAAATAAATACACTACATTCACTTTAATAACATAACCGAGACGCATTCCTAAATAGAGCTGGTGTCTCTGTGGTAGGTATTGCTGCAGTTACAGATTTTGGAAGCTAGGATCTGAAATGGATTTTAGTCATAGGTGAGAGTGAGTCAATCAGGTTTCTCCCAAAGGCAGGTGGATACACCAAGATGAATTTTGCAACACTCAGCACAGCTCAACAAGGAATGGTGAGGAGGTTCATATTTAGCTTTTGTGCTCAGAGAATATTTGTTTCATGTATATATGCAGAACAGGAAAAGGAACTGCCATAGAAGACCAAGCTTTTACATGTGATGTGCTGTTGACTGATAGAGGAAATGCCTGAAGCCAAGAAGTTGCTTTAAAAAGGCCTGCTTAAAGGACAGCACAGAAATCAGATCATGGCAGCAGAAGAAGAGGCCATAAGTACTGCTTCCAAAGAGGCATGAGTCTACCATACATGACAGGACCCAAGTTGCAGACTGAGCAAAGGTGCCCTGCAGACTATCAAACACATGTTGCCAGACTGTAAGATGCAAACTGAGACCGCATGCACTGAGAGGCACAACCAAGTGGTGAGGAACATCTGTGCCTTTGTGACTATGGGAGACACCACCACACGTGACTGACAACAACAGAGGTAAGGTCCTGTGGGACTTTGAGTTCCAGACAGACTGCTTGCTGTCTGGAACAGCAAGCAGCTCTGTATTTATTCATCCACTCACCTAGTCAGCAGGACACTGCATCAGACCTTGTGTCTCAGCTGTACTCTGCTGACCATCCTGCACATTTCTTTTGATTGCCTGATAACCTTGAATGACATAATGGCATATGCTAGTCTTGTCAGAATGACAGATGCCATCTGGTGTTGGTGTTTTAAAGTTAAAATGGTTAAAACCCTTCCTTAATAGTAGATCATTATTTTTGGTTTAACAAACCTGATTTGTTTTTTTTATTTCAAAATTTAGGAGGAATAGACTTTTTTTTATTATGATTTGAATTCAAGAACTTACATATCAATGGTTCCTATATATTCGAAACTGGTTGAGAAACATATTTTTACGCTACACATAACACCAATATGGAATAATAGATATGCTCTCATTAAATGAAAATGTGTATACACAGAGGATGTGTTTTCCAACGGTGTTTTTTAAAATGAATTATTTTTCATACAAGTAATTTATGTTTAAATGTTCAGATGTATCTAATGTTATTTTTTTTAACATGTATTAATGCTATGGTGTGTGCTTTTCATAGACTTGTCTGTTTAATCAAGTTCCGAAGGAGGGGGGCGGGGTAGGAGGGGTAAAGGAAACCGTCATCGATTTTCGTCATTACTCGTCGACCACATTACCCACAATTCAGTTGGTGGACCCGTTCTGAGTTTCCGGTATGGTGCATGTCGCCTTTTCCCTCGCAGCGCTTGTTCTGTAGTTGGATTTTTGTTTTGTTTGAATCTTAAGCTACAAAACACCACAACTGGATAAGAATCACTTATAGCATTTCACTGAAGGAGGAGATACAACGAAGCCGCCAAGATGCCGCGAATTATGATTAAAGGAGGCGTCTGGCGCAACACTGAGGTACGTGTTTACATGGCTAGCTTGGTTAGCATGATGCTAACCTCCGAAAGCAAACCTATGGTCTCGAGTTAGCATGAAGCTAGCTACTCACTTAACGAATTTATCCCGTGTGACAATTTAAGTTCATTTAAATTATCACCAGCTGTGTTTAAGACTTTATTTCGTGCTTGTGTTGAGTTGCATGAAGGCGGCTTTTTAATTTGCACTTAAACATATATGTTTACAGTTAGCGAATATTTGGCAGTCTAGATGGCCAAAATAATAAACCACAAGACTTCATAAAAGTTTATAAGTGAGCAAAAGATAGGGGATAATATAATTGTATTTCAGCACTGGGATGAAAATTAATCAGCCCACTGCGGATTGAGGATAAACGTTTTTGACATGTTTAGTCTTTATAAATCTTTTGTCATTCAGTACATCCATTTAATTTATGGACGTCTGTTCCTTTTTAAATTTTTATTTATTCAGGATGAGATCCTCAAGGCAGCTGTAATGAAATATGGGAAAAACCAGTGGTCCCGTATCGCTTCCCTGCTGCACCGAAAGTCTGCCAAACAGTGTAAAGCCCGATGGTGAGTTTTGAGTCAGAGATGTGTGATGTGTCAAAAACATGAGATTAATTAAACGTCTACATACATTGATGGTTGTTTCTTCTCTCTGTGATTTTTTTTTAGCTTTCAAATCTCTTTATGAAGAGTGAAATAAAGACCTTCTCCTCTGGCTTTGTTTCTGTCCGTAGGTACGAGTGGTTGGACCCCAGTATCAAGAAAACAGAATGGTCCAGAGAAGAGGAGGAGAAGCTGCTTCACTTGGCCAAGCTGATGCCCACCCAGTGGAGGACCATTGCTCCTATTATAGGAAGGACTGCTGCTCAGTGTCTGGAACACTACGAATACCTGCTGTATGTTTATCTCTAAGGACACATTTATTCACTATGATTTGTAATTCTGTGGCTTTTCACCTTGTATGTCCAGGAGCATTCATTGTTGCTAATCATTGCTGATTTGTAATTGAGATGTATTTTGTGTTTTATTCAGGGACAAAGCAGCTCAAAGAGACAATGAGGAGGAAGTGGGAGATGATCCCAGAAAGTTGAAACCAGGAGAAATTGATCCCAATCCTGAAACAAAACCTGCCAGACCTGACCCTGTGGATATGGATGAAGGTACAAAAACACACTGTCAGATGCTGTCCGATTTATTTGAGCCAACAAAA